GGGGGGGGGGAGGTAAACTCAATTTATCTCTCCGGGTGGTAGCAAATTCGGCCGTCGTAAACAAAATCTATCTTCGTTCCCGAAAATCGCCGCGCGACGGCTCGTCCGTCCGCGCACGTATCCCACCTCCCCCCCTCCCGCCCCCCGTCAGTCGATTAACGGGGAAATCGAGACCACCACCACCGCCGCTTAACTCGAAGGCGTGACGTAATATCGCCGTCGCAGATCGGACACGCCGGAGGTGAACGAAGAATGGTAAATCGATTCGATGCGAGCGATAGCGTTGTATCGCCGCGAGAAGATTGACTTATTGATCGAGCATGGAGCTCCCGGGAACGCCGCTCTCGTCACGACGACGATCTTTCACGTGTCTCGCGGCGTCCGATCCGCCGTTTATCCGCGGCGCGCCGAGGCTCAGGTGTTCTCTCGCGCGCGCCTTCGGACGAGCGAGAGGCGATTTTTCCGATGCGTCTCTCTCTCTTTCTCTCGCACATTGCGCGCGCGCGCGTCGGGAACGCAGGCATCCTAATTATACGCGCCGGTGGTGTTTACCGGCCTTAGTTGCGATAATTATTCGCACGCGAGGGGGCCGGCATTGGCGGGGAGGTACTGACCTTTAGTATATTCTCCACGTCCGTCGAATTCTCGACTGGCTCGTACCGCGAATTGGACGCCTGGAACAGAAAGAAGAGGCACCCGTATTATTTGTCGACGCTTCCGCGCGCGATATCGCCGTGTAACACGTGGATGCGGTAAAGAAGCTTAGCGGCAATGAATGCAAATTTCACGGCGAATACAATTTACACGGGGAAAGGGCGGCACCGCTCAAATCCGGATTACTAAAGCATCGTTACGTTAAACGGGATTCACCTTCTCGATAAATCGAACTAATCCCTTCGCGCTCGCTCGCGCCGCCGGCAAGTGAAAAACATCTCTCGCGCGTACGATCCGTGTTCGGGATCCAATTTACACGAACGGACGCGAATCCGAAGGAGCGCCCTTGTCGCGGCGTTTCTTCGCGATTTATCGCCGCTCCTCGAGCGATCATTAATCAACACCGCCGCAGGCCAGGGAGAGACGTTGAAAAGGGCGCGGAGGGAAGGTGGTGAGACGAGCGGAGAGACACGTCCTAAAGGGAGGTATTACGGATAACGGCGAATAGTCATTCCCAGAAAGAAAACGCGAGAACAATAGCGAATGCGTGGGACGGCTGAACTACGCCGGATGAGAGAGTAGGGGGAAGGGGGGTGTCTAGTAACTTTCAGCCGGAGGACGGCGTCGAGAGGAGCGGAGGGCGAAAAACGGAGGGAGACGAGACTGGATAATCACGGAAAGGGAAGGGAAAACGGGAAGACCGGAGGAGAGAAAGAGAAGGAGGCAGAGAGGCGAGAGAGGGAGGAAGTGAGGGAGAAAGGAGGCGAAGGAAGAGGTGGGTATATACTTTGTGTTATCACACCTGCAAGCGGCAACGAGAGGCGATAAATGGGAAATATACGACCGCGTTACGTTTGAATTATTGTCGATTGATAAATCTCGCTCTCTCTCGGATTCTGCTTGCGGATTAACCCATCGCGAGCGCGTAACACGGTTTCGCCATTCCAACCTTTCGTGCAATCTTTAAATTTACCTACAAAGAGGCGATGTGGAAACAAATTTTGCTCCTTTTTCTTTTTTTAACATATTTATGACTATAGTGAAATTACAAAGTGCTCTGAAGAAATGTAATCGAAGGGGGGAAAGACGAGACGAGAGAGGGCGATGGAAAATCGGGAAAACTGTGCTGAGAGAAAAAGTGAGATCAACGAGATTTTGCTTATCGAGCAAAATTTGCTCAAGCACGACGTTCAGTCCACTGAACAAATTATATATTATAGCCGTAATGAATTATTAATAAATTATTATTAATAAATTCAACGACTGTGACTTAGTTAGCAACTGTACAGTAACAAATATTTTGCATCTGTGCTAAAATTTGTCCTTGTAAAAAATTTGTGTTAAATTTTTAACATACCATTGTGTTAATTTAACATATTGTATTTACGTTAACCTCAATATTGTGTTGAGTTGATATTCAACATATGTAAAAGTTAAAATAACACATTTTATATTTGAATATCGATTAACATATAGATATTAATTTTTAACATAACACTCGTTACTTTTCAACATATTCACCTTGTGTTAAATTAACACAAAACTTTTTACTGTGTATATCAACGCAACATAGTATTGCGCCGAATGTAATTTGTTCAATAGACGCAATATTTCTTTTAATGAGGCTGACCGCCGATTTGTCGATTCAATTGCCTTTTCTTCTCGGTGTAGAGGAAAGGTGACGTAAGAAAGACTGGGAAGATCGCTCCCATTAATAGCGCGCAACGTCCGACGATGCTTAGCGCAACAGCTTGCGAGCTTATCTCACGTCGTCGTTGTTAACCGCCTTTCCCTCTTCGCGCGTAATCCAAACTAATTTCGCGGATGAGGACGAATGACTCGGCAAGGCGAACGATTCGCCAGCCATTGTCGAGAAAGAGAGAAAGAAAAAGAAAGAGATAAAGAAATACGTCGCACTGAGATAAGGGGAGAAGAGAAGGAGGAGTAGCGAAAGGACAAACGGGAATCAATTTTCCGGGAGAATGCGGAAGAGAGAAGGGAAGCGAAACGCACTCAGACCGGGCCGGCTCTAATTGTATAAGTACATCCGAAGAGAAAGAGAGTGAGGCACTCCGATCGTCTCCCCGATGGGTAACGTGTGACCGACAAAAAGGGGGCGGGGGGAAGAAGAAGGAGACACGATCGATAGTCAATCTCAATGAAATTTGCACCTCGAGGAGGCCCCCATCGCATAATAGCACCCGTCTCGAAACTTCCCTCCTCCCTCCGTCTCTCTCGTTCCCCGACCTGGACCGACCCCCGCCCGCAGCTGGATTTCCATTGAAAAGCAATTCGTTCTCTGTCAACGAGCCTGTCGAGCCAACTGGTTTCGTTTGATACCCGCCGGATGATCCCGAGTGGAAGTTCAGAGTCGACGAGGAAGGAAGGAAGGAAGGAAGGAAGGAAGGAGGGCGGGTAGGTGGATAGAGCGAGGGAGAAGGGAGGGATGATAATAATAACCTCTTTATTACGGCTCCTACGGTGAGAGATTAATGCCACGGTTGCTTGATCCTTCCCCCGCGATTTGCGGCCGGAAGAAGCGGCGTGATTCGCCCGCTCGGACGCGGAAGGGCCGCGCACGAGATATCGAGGAGTGACTGATGATCGGGAATCCCGATGCGGTAACCGAGAGCAATAATACCGAGTATCATCGATTTTTCCGGAAATTCTGCCAGGATGAGAGATCGCCGGTGTACGCGTAATAAACTGCTCGCGCGAGTCATTCGCGTTTATTTATTTACTCTCCGGTTGAAAACAGCCGAGATCACTCGATCTTACTCGACTTGGAGCAGTGACGCCGAGATGTTCCACTCGGTCGGTTTCAACGCACCTCGCGCGCCATCGAAACGCGTCAATGACACGCAGCCAGTGTGCAAAGAATAATTAAGAACACGCGGGAAGATTAGCGGCGGCGTAATGATTCCGGCAACTTGTTAATTTCGACAGCGTCGTCGTTTAGTAAGCGCGACAATAGCGCCGACGGAAACTTCGCTCTTAATCTTCTTACGCGACAAATAATCGCAACTCCGACGAGAGACGTTAAAATAGTTTGAGACTTCGCGAGTCCGGGCGCCGTTGCGACGTCGTCGTCGTCGCGGCTCGCGCGTTTGTTGAAGCGGACCATTAGTACCGCGGTATCGATAGTGCATTAAGCGAAAAACCGATTTCTACAACTGAAGTTTCCATAGATTGACACATTGGCCCTTATTTTCTGAAGTACAAGTTTATATGCCAGGCGACACGGTGTCGTACGGAGTAGCAAGTGCTGCACGGAGAGTTGTTAGGAAAAAAAAAAAAAAAAAGAAAGAAGGAATTGAAATGTCATTCAAAGCGATGCTCTCGGAACTTCGTTCTTTCGGTGTCGAATGTGTCAATTAAGGAGCTACATACACCCGAGCGGCTCGAGAAACGACCGATGAATCTGAACTCTTCCGCTGTTGACTTTGTGAAAACAACAGCGTTGCATAATTAACTCTTTGCAACGTGCTTCGTGTAATATGTGAATAAAAGTATCGAAAAATCACCGATCAAAAGGGCATCTATCTTCACGAAGCCGACATGCGCTCGGTGGAAAAACTCAAACACAGGGGCGCTTTTCGAGCCGCTCGGATGTACGTGGCTCCTTGAAGAAATCGCTGCGTCAACGATCACTTCGACCGTCACTCAAACACGCTTGCGAGATTCCGGATTGATCCCCGCGCGCGTGCGGGATACCACCCACCGCCAGGAATCACACGCTTCCTCCACGCTGACCGCTAATACCGCTCTCGCTCTGTCAATACCGTCGTCGTTCTTCAGCCCCCCCTCCCCCCGGCCCCTCTTCGTCCTTGATACCGGAAACACGCGACTTCCGAGGACGCTCCGTGCAAACAATCCTCCGTGAAACGAAGCGATCAACCCGTTAGCCAACCCGAAAAGCCATTATCGTTCGCTCTCGACGGGGCGTCGGACGCGCATGCAAACCGTCGTGGCCGAAACGACCCCCGAGACCGACCGTGGCATAACCGGAGGAGGAGATACGAAAATCGATACTCACGTTATCGAGAGGTAACCTGGGCAGTCGTTCGCCGAACGTGTGAATGCGGCTGCCGGCCGCGATCACCGACGACGAGCTGTGCGAAGGTGGGCCGGCCTTGGCCGGGGGCAAGCCATGGTTGCGATGATCGTTGCCGCTGTTGCCGGCGTGCTTGACCGCGTGACTAGGGTAGCAGCCCCTAGAGACATGGGGCAGCTTACCGTCGGCGGGTTTGACGAAACCGCTTCGCTGATGGCTGGAGGTGCTGGCACCGGAGGCGCTGTTGCCGGAGGCGCCGGGGATGCTGGCGCCGGAGGTGGTGGAAGACGAGATGTTCGCTCTGAGTCCACCAGGCTTCTTGAACTCCTGCGGAGCCGGCGAACTCCTGGAGCTGGAGCCGCTCTTGTACGCGGAAGGATTAGGCGAGGACGGGGTGATGGGCGCCGGACTCGGCGGGATGCCATCGATGCCGATGAGGCGCTTCGGGTCGTCCAGCAGGTGCCTCACCAGCGAGTAGTTACCCAGCTTCAACTGGATCTCATGCGTGGTGCGATCCTGATTATCGGAGTTCACCTGCAAAGCGAACAACGAGATGAGGATCGACGTTCGTTGATGAGAAAGCGCGTCATCCCAATCCCCTCACCCCGCATACCGAGAGGAAAATATTTGCTATTTGTAAGTATTGTAAGTGTATAATCGTCATAATGGAGAAATTATAGTCGGGGGAGCTATTTTCCGAATAATTGTTCTTGTAGTGTCAATGATAATGAACTTATATGCATGTTATTATTACTATTTTATAGTTAAAACCATAAAAAAGGTAGTTGAGGTCGGAAATAATGATAATTTTTCCTCAATGCAGAGAAATTTTCCTCGATTTTCCCGTACGCAAAGCCCGCGGAGATCTCTCAACTAGCTACGTGCGATCGGGTCCTCCCGGCCGTTTCTCGAGTCGATATTTCAGTTCTACATGAAGTCTATTTAGTTTTACATGAAAAAAAAACCTCCGCAGATCTTCAAGGTTCTTCAAAGATTTTCAATCGTGCCCCCTTGGTTGTTACAAATGGAAAGTTCTTCCCGTTTACTCCACTTGAGGACTTAATGCAGAATTTAAAATTTCCCCTCGGGGAATATAAATTCCCTTTGTAGCATGAAAGGAGCACTATCAGTGCTCCTTTGATGTTACAAAAAATGGGAAGTTACCTCGGTTTTCTCTACTTGAAGACTTAACGTAGAATTAAGTAGACGTGAGCTAAAACGTAGAACTTAAATTTCAACTCGGGTTCTTCTCGGGGACGGAGTCGCGCGCCAATTACCGCGATTTTTCGTCACGCCGGGAATTATCGATCACAGCTCGACGAATCTCGCGCGTTAATTGCCGCTTAAACTTTCCGCCGGGGAGAGGCTCGCTGCGTCGCCGGGAAATCGCGATGACGGCACACCTAAACGGTCCCGGCTAAGTGGAACACGATGTCGAGTCGGCGCGGGGGATAATGTAAGGGTAGCGACGTACATAACGAATCAATCATGTCACGGTAGCGCTCCGAGAGAGAAAGAGAGAGAGAGAGTTCTCGGTACTGTCACTTATCAAAGAAAGATCAGCGAGAGACCCGTAGCGACGCGACGATCGAGCGCAACCGCGGCCGATAGAATCGCGGAGAGAACGCGCTCGCACACACGCGTGTTGTTCCCGCGCGCTGATTGCACGAGCAATTAGCAAAAATTAATGCGCCGAGGAGAGGCGACTGCCGTGGTTTACGACAGTGTTCGAGTGGAAATTTAGCGTGTAGCGTGCGCGCGGCCGCGCTAATATGAATCACCTTGTTGTGCTCGCGCAATAATACAAGCGCTGTTCTCCCGCTCGCTCGCCTCGGCTGCTGGCAGGCGCGCGCGTCTCGCCTTTGTCCGTTAAGGACAATGAGATCGAATCGCGGTTTAATAAGGAGGTCGGCCGCCAGCGAGGGAACTTAACGTGATTAATGAGCGCCGCTATAAATCACGTCCGCTTGTTAGCGCCGGAAGACTTTTTCCCGCCGATCGTCCTCTAATGAACGGCGCCCGGAATTTCGAAAATCGCGCGCCGACTGCTGCTGAGGTTCGTCATCGTCGACGACGAGGAGGAGGAACGTCGGATTCCCCAGCGTGCTTAGAAACGCGAGTAATGCCACCGACAACGGACGGGGTCGACAATGGGATCTCGTCGAGAGCGATTGTTAGTGCTGATTAGAGAGAGCCACCACGAGGAGAGATCGCCGCCACCGTCGCCGACGTTCCACGAGAGTCCGTTAAATAACGCGCGCCGTAATGCCTCTCGTTCGCGTCACGCGGACGAAATAACGAGACTCGTGACGAAACACTGACTGCACGCGGAGGCTCGACGAGTGTGCAGCTGTGTTGCCGTGAAATAATCGGGAGATATGACAGGCGGAAACCGGACGAAAATCGTACTCTTCTCGTGTAATTTAGATAATAGGGAGAATCGCTACAAAAATTACCGAGACTTTTACGTAGACGCGCGTTCTCTCTCTCTCTCTTCCTCTCGGTACCGTTATCCGCCGAAACATTGACCTTTCCTCCCGAATCACCGTGTACTCGAGGGTGAATCTTCTGCTCCCATAGACGCGACAGAACACATCGACGTGTCTCGCTAATTAAGCTCCGCAAGTCCCGCTGCTCCTACAAAGTCTGCGGTAATGTAAACGCGAAAGCGAGCGAGCGAGCGACAAGATACGAAAGTGAGAGAGAGAGAGAGAGAGACGCGTAGGTGACCAGGTCAGGGACTTCTCATCCGCCCTGACCTCGCTCAACCTCGTCCGGCTTCTCCGCCTCCAGCCAGCCAACTACCCCCGCCATCCCCTCGCCAAAGCCGCCGCCGCCGTCGTCGAGTGGTGCTCCACGTGTGCCACCCGACAGCGTACGCTGTGCGTACTATACAACGCGTACCACTCGTAAAGAGCGCGCGGGGCGGTGTCTATCGGCGAAAGCGTCGTAAAACGCAGTAATTATAGCGCGGTAACGCAACCGCCATATTGCGAAAGATGATACCGCCGCGGCGATGAAAATGCTCCAGCCGCCGCGAGGGGAAATCGATAAACCTTCTCCTTTTCTCTCTCTCTCTCTCTCGGCGAAACCGAACAAACGGAGTACGCGCTAAACGGCTCTCCGGCGGAGGATCTTCCCTCTTCAGAGCAAGCTGATGAACTTTACGACGGGGAGCAAATTAATGGAGAATAAAAATTAACGGAGGATCGCGAGAAGGCGATACATAAGAGAGTTTCGCCGGAGGGGGAAGTCGCGATAACCACGCAAATATTTATATCCTTCGCTCGAGGCGAGATACCTGCCCGGTATCGCATCTCGGGGCTTTTTCACGCCTGGTGAGACACCCTAAATCCGTCAGAGGGTGCCTCGCGCGCAGGTGGAAGTCGGGGGAAGAAAGTGGATTTAGCGATTCTGCGAGGTAACTTCGCGTCCTGCTTGCGTACAAATACGAACAGCATCCTCCCCCCCTCCCGTAGGGGGTGCAGCAACACGGCCTACCAAGGGCCGGCGCGTAAACCACCAGTGGGTGCATCGCGATGAGAACACGGGCAAATATCGACGGTTACGGTATCCGCGCGCGAAAACACGGGCCGTTGCACGCGCGGCCGGTATTTATGAGCCGCGGCGCGAACTCGCGACGCGAATGGATGAAAGCAATTCGCGCGATCCTCGCGTCGCGTCGCGGTTCGGCTCGGGACGTCCAATCGAGCTTTTGATCCACTTAACTGACACACACACGATCGAGCGCACGTTCGAAATTCGTTGCGTACGTACCATGTATGAACGTTTCGAGCGGGCGAAAATTGCGCTCCGCGGCCGTTTCGTCGCACGTTATGAGGGCGCCTCTCTCCATCTTCGCGCCCGTGCTGTAAATTCGGATTTCACCGGCGACCCGCGATCCGGAGGCGAAGAGAAGAGGGGATAAAAACCGATTCTAACTGACAGTCGGAAATTTCAATCGAACCGATGAGTAAAGCTTTGGATTCAATCGCGATAGACGCGACGGTCGCAGGATAACGCACTCTTCGCAGGATTACTTCGTCTATCTAATTCGTAGAATCGTTTTTTGTAGAATTATAGAAGAAGTGGGGGTATATATAATATATATGGAATGTGCGAGTAATAGCGATATCTCTAAACTATTAAAGCCCGGTTTTGGATTGTCTGGTTAATTTCTGATCTGAAATTAACAACGTTGATGATGCAAAAATTGTGTTTTTCTATTCGTGATTAATCATGAAACTGATGGTTTTGTGTAATGGTGATTTTTAAAATTTAATGATTAACCCGTGATTAAAGAAATATAATTTTTACGTTATCATTGGATTAAGCTTAAATCGCAAGTTAACTAGAAAATGAAAAATCGAGTTAAATGTCGCAATCCAGCGGAAAGCAGTAGAATTATTAGCTGCTGGTAATGCGGCGAGTAATACGGAATAGTCCATGTCACCCGTCACTTTTTATGAGTATCGTATATTGTACATCCTATTGTTTCCTTCTTTTAGAATACCAAAGAAGCATATAGGTGACGTCGTTAAAAGACGTTTAACTAAACAATGGAATGAAATTAATACGATGTTACGTACATTTATATGACATTATAATCATATTATAACGGAAAGTATAAAAATATAAATTTATAATAAATAATAAAATAAATATATAATCATTAACTAGTCGGTCATTAAAATGCAACAAAATACGAGAAAAATTATTTTTCTGCAAGATTAACGAGGTACTCCGTTCTGTCCCACGTTATCCTTCCAAAATCTTCCCTCGGAAATCCTATCGATGTGACGTTAAACTTACCACAGATAAGTGAAATTTGTTAGAAACGTGTTAAAACGAACACTTGGCATTACAATTCAGCGAGTACAGTTATCTTGAATAGCTCCCGAGTTATCTTAAAGAAAAGTAGGAAAGCCTGTTCCATATTACTCGCACTTCCTCTATACGTAACGCGTGCGCGTGCATCGATCGTGTATACGATTCGTTACTCTTTACGCGCACCCGGAATACACGAGCGCCGGCGTGAATACGATTCAGCCGCGAAGCCCGAGACGTCGGCGTGCACCGCTAAAGATCGTTGCGACACAATGCGCTTTGTTGCGGCATGAATGACCCGCGGGGGTGCAGCCGGTCGGCGAAAAGAGAAGAGAGGCTCGGTAAAACCTGGACACGTCCGCGTTCGAGTTAAGCTTCTTACACGCGAAGAAATTCGACAATACCCGGAGCTACTTGCACTAGCGCCACGTAATCGTGAAAAGTATCACAGAGAGAAAGAGAGAGAGAGAGAGAGATAAAGAGTTTCCGTCGAACAATGGACGTTTGTGGAGCGCAACGATGCGGGATCCTACATACTTCCGGATGTTCGACGGTTGCTCACTTTTTTCGTAAACGATATTAATTAAGGGAACTTTCCTTTCTCTCTCGGAACTTTTCAGGTTACTTGAATATTCGTTTCAAAGTGTTCCACGGGCTCGGCAGTGCAAAGTGGGAAAATACGCGCGCACTGGGGGGCGATGATTAAA